AGGCCACGAAAACCATCTGGTCCAACCACCAATCCATTGCCACCATGCCCACTAAACCATGTCACTCTTTCATCTGTTTCTCTAGAAAAGCATATAAGCAGGTTGCCAAGAATATCTCTTTGTTCATACCTGCATGCCTGCTTTCATAAGGTTCACAGAGAGCCTGATCTTGAAAGGAGTGATAATCTCTGGAACATTGAGCTGCTGGCACAAGGCTGAGCTGGCGCTAAAGAATTGTGCTTCAGTTTGCTCTTAGGATTAAACTTGAAAAATCTTGGCAGCTCATCAGATATTCCCTGCCATCTATGCTGTAGATAAAAAAGAACTACAAAAATGTAATAGAGAAAAACAAGTAGAAAGTAAAACAAGTTAATGAGCCACTAAAAACATTAGTCTGATTTTAGACTGATCAGTTTTATTTATATTAATCTTTCAGTTGTGCCTGGACCCGTTTTCTGGTCCCCAGGGCAACCGGTGTGGAAAAGCTCAAGTCATTACTGTTACGTCTCTTAGAGTGACAAACAGAGTGGCAGTGTCCAAATTGCTTATTGGGAATGGTTGTTGGCCCATGCTATTTCAAACCAGGCACCAAAGTTATTTTGGAAGAGTGACAGCTTGCCCAAGCCAAAGCTATCACAGGCACAATTCTAACAACCTAATGGGCTGGATAATCAAGTTTCAGGCCTGGGAATGATTCCTGGCATTCTTTAATGTACACTTCTATTGATGTAGCCAGGGAAGCTAACACTAAATAAATACTGCAATTGGAAAAAAATAGCCCTCACTATATAATTATTTCAGTAAATTATTAAGAAAATTATGTTTTATGTCTGTAAAGTGTGGCATAAATTTCAGTCAATACCATTTACGCTACATCTCCATTTTCAGAAAGCAGACCTATACGTAAAGGAGGTGGAATTTTCCCTATGTTATCCAAAATGCGTGCTCTCCAAGGAAACAAAAACAGGAGTAGAAAAATGGACTTTCCATACCTCAGTTAAAAGCCACACAAAACCATCCTCCAAAGACATAAGGTCAAATTCATCAAAGATACTATTCAAAGAGCACTCTCCTTATTTTCCTTACACAAGTGATGTCTTGTAGTGCTCTCACTATCAAGGAAATGTGTTGCTTTTTTTAAATTGGTATATGCAGCCAACAAAACCAAAACCCTCTATATTTGGGCTGAATCTTATCTTACTTGGCGTAAAGCCTTTCCTCTTACCTGTCTGTTCATCATTCACAGGTTCTAGTACACACGCATGCAAAATATGGAAATAAAAACCATGTAAAAAGATCAGGGAGAGCTATTTTCATCCATAGGGTTCTATTCTGAGGAACTCTGATTTGCCTGCAATTAAGAGAATTACTGGCTATCCATATTTCTTTTGACACAACTAAAAATTTTAAGATCTGCTAATTGTAGCTCCACTGATGTTATGTAGTGGACAAACACAAGCAGGCTGGCCAAAAGAGGGAGAAGTCTGTACAGAAACATAGCTGTGTGCTTGAATTTGTTTACTGTCTATAAAAGTGGTAGTCATCTTCTCTGTTTTGTGTCTGCATACTCAGATGTTTTTGTTATATACAGATACCATTTTTACTTTATGGATGAGTGTGTCTACATATAACATGCAGATGTAGTCAGATTGCTGTCAGTTTAGGTTTAGAAAATGTTATTTAATACAGCATTTATTTAAATACAAAAATAAGTAGGGATATAATAGGATATTTTTGCTATATACTTCAAAGCCACTGTTAATAGCATGTGTGTGTGTATATATATATGCACTGAAACACATAAATAAAATAGAAAAATAGCTCTGTCATTACTGGTGTTGTATAAGCAGTAGAAACAAGGACTGGTGGCTATCCCATTTTCATACACAGTCTACAGTGAAAAGTATTAAAAGACAAAGTATTTTTGAGCAGTTCATCAAGAATAATGTCATAGCTTTGAAATATGTCTCCTTTGTTTTAAAAGAGGCCAATAAAATCCAACAGGTGCTAATGGAGTGTGACATCCTGTTGGATAATTTTTAAACACTTGGGGAACGTGGTGTCTTATTCATGTAAATGCCTTTGGAGCACTTCTGTGAGTTGGAAATCAAATTGAATCTTCTAACAGTTCAACAGTTCAGCACCCCGAATTTGCCCATATTTAAAAACTGCATACTTTAGGTATTGAGTTCTGTGAATGCCTGTGGAAAAAAAACATTATCTAACCTTTGTTATTTTTACACACCCTATCATCACTCATTTGTTTTGATTTGGAGTGACCAGATTGACTGCATATGCAGATGCATTTAGAAGAAAAGGCTGGACATAGAAAGCTGCTATAGCAGAGCACAGGGCCTGCTTTTCAAAATTAGGTGAATGAAAATGTACACACTTGCTATGACTGTGCATGTAGATATATCAACTGTATTCACAGTGGTTCCTTCCATGACACAGCTCTGATCTTTTTGCTGCATGGCAATATGAAGCAATAATAGCTGGTGTGGCTTAATCAATCATTTCTCTTTTGGGGACAGTGCTGCTTCTAGCACTTCACAAGCACCCGTGGATAAGAACTGCTTTCTCCATCAAAGACCACATTAATAAAAGGACTTAAAAAAAAAAAAAAATTAAATAAGAGGAAGGAGGTGTAAAGAGTAGTCAATCTATGTGAGCCAAGAGATTGGGGCTAGGGAGATGGTCTTCCGACATTTGATGGATGCTGATTAGACAGCTTTCTCACCGTTTTTGTCAAGATACAGAGCTGTCACAGAACGTTTGAGTTGGAAGGGACTTTTAAAGGTCATCTAGTCCAACTCCCCTACACCTACAGCTAGATGAAGTTGCTCAGAGCCCCAGACTTTTAATGTCTCCAAGGACAAGAAATACAGTGCATCTCTGGGCAACCTGTGCCAGTGCCTCACCACTCTTACTGTAATAAAAACATTTTTTCTTACATCCAATCTAAATTTCCCTTCTTTTAGTTTGAAACCATTTCCCCTTGTCCTATCCCATGAAAGTGTCTACCCCCTATTTTCTTGTAGCCTCCACTTAGATATTGGCCATCAAAGTGAAATTCCTTTTGCCAGTATACCAAATGTACCAGTTGTTGACCCTCTAGATCCATCCAGCCCTCAAGTAATTTTTGCTCATCAGCAGGGCTGAGGAGAATGCCACCTGGTTCCCCATGTCTTTGATCATGTCTCACTTCCAGGATCTTCCAGGATAAAACTGAAGCTTGTTATTGTTGTGGATATGATGGACACCTTTTTTCATGGATTTGCTTTTCATGCTAGAAAAAGCTATTGAACTGCTCACTCTTGTCCCACATCAGCCCCATTTCATCCCCAAGGAATAGATGAATCAGTGCTAGAGGATGACACTCTGTGAAAAGTACAGTGTGGCCTTTGGCTGATCCTATGCTTGCTGTGCTAGTTGAGCAACAGCAGTTCTGTTAGCTCTCCCAGTCAGATCTGTCCCTGGAAGTCATGGCTAAGGGTTGATGCTTTTCCAGGCCTATGGAAGAATATTGTCCTAGCTCAAGACACATCGTGCTGTTTGTGTGGTATTTACATTTCCTCTTGAGAAAATAATAGTTATTAATGCATTTTTTCTTACACTTGTGTGATATAAATATTTTTGGATGCAAGAAGTTAATCTTTCCCTAACCCTTAGGAAATGATATCCAAATTTTCTTCAGTTTGCTAGAGTAATCAGAGAAGCCAACATGTTGTTGGATGAGCTTTATTCATTGACCTCTCCACATTCCTGCCTAGCTCTGCATTTTTACTGGTATGTATTTTGGGTCAGCAGTTTTATACAGTTCACACTTCATTATCTAACCAATATAGAATACTGAGAAGTAATCATGAAGAGCATAGTTCTTTCTGCAATTCTTAGGTTAGTCCTACATGGGTCAAAAAGCTTTAAAGCTCAGGCTGATGCAGTGAAAGTTAATAGATGCTAATTTCTGCTAAAAAACAAAGTGATCTTTTGCTTCAAAGAAGAAACAGCAGATAGTGAGAATCCTCTCCTCTCTCGGAAGTGATCTGACTGACAGTGGTGATGGCATTTGAGTTCTTTGAAGGTCCAGATCATGACTTGGGACTAGATACGTGTCAAAAAGTTGAAAAATTATTTTATGATAGCGTAAGTCATTCTCACACTTTGGTTTGAGATATATACCAGATCACACAGAACTCTTCAGCTGCCAAATGCTCCCTAGGCAAATATGTTCTTGTCCTGAAACTGGCTGAGGCATGCACCCTCTAGCCTTCAAGCGGCCTTTCGCCAAGTTCAGAAACACGCATCTTTCATCTAGCCAAGGATATTTCATTGTGTACCTCCTTTGTATCAGCTTGTGGGAACTGTCACAGGCAAGACAGAGCAGCAAATACATCTTTTACAATAAGCATAGACAGAAAAGAAGACAAAAACAAATTTGTTCCCCTGAATGCTTTCATTTCTTCATTATTCTTTGTTGTTGTTATTTTTTTGTTTTGATTGGCAGTTTTGAAGTGAATGAAATAAATGGAATGTTTAAAATTTAAGGTATTCTACCTTGTATCACTATGGACATTGCTGAAATCCCTTAAAAGAAAGTCACGTATCTTGAAGACATATGGTAAATTAATTCTTTGTGCTGGGTAAGAAACTGTACCAGGAAAAGAAGTGACCGGACCATTCTCACAGATTAGTGTTGTTTGACACCGGGGAAGGAAATATTTTAATCCCAGGTGATGTCCTCTCAAGGTAGTTGACGGGGATGGTGAAAAGTAAACAATACTCATATAGCTTAGTGACAAACTGAGGAAGGAAAATGTAACACTGAGGAGATCTTTTCCAGAAAGAAACCAACACTAGAGTGTGTAAGCTGCTTACCCAACTGTCTGCTTTGGTTCCAGCTTAATGGGGCTGTAAACATCTGGCATGGGGATATGAGACACAGTGCTTTCAAACTTCCTCCAGACTGAGTACTTTTCTGGATATTTTTCTCTTTACAGGAACCTAGACCTTTGTATAACAGAAGATGCCAGTTTTATTCAAGTGGAGTAGGATTCCTATATGATGCCTACCAAACAGAGGTAAACAAAGTCACTTCCTCATATGTTCATTTCTCTTGTGTTTCAAGGGGCTGAGGAGGAGGAAAGCAGTCATTTGAGACTGTCTCTGTGCATGTAGGTTGATGGTAACCCAACTGATTTTCCCTCCCACAAGTGGTCCCCCATCTGCCTGAGCTCTGATGTTTGCAAATCATTACAATCAGTAAGATTTTGAGTCATCATCAGTGTTTGTATTCAACACACTACTCTGGGATTGGAATGATTATCAGTCCACATATATTGTATAAGAGATGTCTGAAATGTTTTTATCACATTGACTTTCTCTGAAGAGGTTTTTGTTGACCTGCATTGTCCAGAAAACTTCAAATATTCGCTGTATTTATCCAGCACGGGCCAAGAATGTCAGTGGTTTGTATGCACTTTTTACTGTCTCAAGGACATTAACATGATATTAAAAGTGCCTATAGCCAAAGGGCTAGCCTCTGGAGAAATCCAGATTTAGTTTCTTTTCCTATTACTCATTTTAATGTTATGGTAATTGATGGGAGTGAAAAGGAAATCAGGCAGAGCAGGATAGAAAACAAACTTAAGAGAAGCCACATATTCATTTGTCCTGTGATTGTGAAAAGGGGTACTGGGAATGCTACTGTTAATAATTCTAGATAGGTTAGCAAAATCTATTACTAACTGAAGCAGTTAATATTACTTTTATCTTACTGTTAAGGCACCCTGCTGTTGTATCCAGAAAATGTGTGACAAACATGTTTCATTGACCTCCTTGCTTCAAGAGCTACCCTGACAAACTTCCAACATGTCAGTGCACATCCAGGCACAGACACATCCCACAGAATGCCTCTGATTCCTCTAATAAGTGTGTAGCTTGGGTCATGCTGACCTCAACTCCCTGCAGGTGACCCCAGCCTCAGTCTTCTGCCTAGACAGACTTTCTTAGCTCTGCATATATTGGAAATGTCTCAGTTTGGGCCACCCTGAACTCTATTCTAGCAAAAAGTCCCCCACAGACATATCTTTTTAAAAATGTGGTTAGTTTGTAATAACATTCTTGTCTGGTTGTCTACCGAGCTGGAGTCAGTGTGTGCTAATTCAGTTACAGATCTGTGGCATTTGAACTTGGCTTTTGCTTTCCTGAAGTTAGCCAGCTGGTGAGCAGGAGACATGCTCTACATTCCAGGCGAACACCAAACCAGGAAGACAGATTGTTTTCTGAGAGTGAGTTTGCTTTTGATTGCCATCTCTAGTTTCTGAGTGGTCTCCAGCTCATGGAGTCTGGTGGATATATGTCTTTTATTTGCTCAAAGCAAAAATGATTAGATTTTCTTGTAATCTCTGTGAGGTGGGAATATCTCTTGAATTGTGCTGTGGGGATAGAGAGACAAAAACAGCCAGAATATGAAAAAGCTAGATGTCTGGTCACTGAAATGGAAAAATAGGTCTTAACATGCAAGATACCCACAAATGGCCTGTTTTCCACCCTTGCTCACACCACACAGAAATTTGTTTATTTTGGTTTATCCACTGATCTCCTAAAAAGGATTGTCTTGCTCTATGCATGTTTTAAAAATGCAGTGACAAAAATAGACAACTACAATAACTCCCTTGGCCAAAAATTTAATACATTCTGAAGCCTCAAAGTAGCGAAATCATTCTATGATTTTGTGTCCAAGATCTTGCCAATCTCCTTCTTTCATCCTTCTAGCCTTCCACAGTCAGAAGTGGCAAACTGGAGAGGGAAAAGCTACTACTTTTTTTCTATCAGAAATGATCCCCAAAGCCATGTACCAGAAAAAAAAAAAAAAAAAAAAGCCACATTTTAGCAGCCCTCTCCATCTTACAATATACTCTGATCCCAACCACATGTGTGATGGAACAGGAGTATTTTAGCTATGTGAGTCCTAGGCCATTTTGTCTGTGGACAGAGGCTCAAAGCCAAAGTCTTGTGTTCCACTCAGTGCAAAAGTATTAGAGCCTTCAAACAAAACGGCCTGGGTAGCAGATACATTGGTATGGTCTGCTCCAGGATCAGTTTTCAAAATGCTTTGAGAAATAGCCATGTGATATTTCAGTTACTTCTGAGCTGGATCTTGATTAATCTGAGATAGTCATTGACGTGGTTGCAATTCAAATTGGAACCATCCTTTCATAATCTAACTTCCATTTTGGATTAAAATGGCTGCTTTGTACTGGAGGCTAACCGTACATTTAGCCTTGTCCCAAAGCAATCCCAAGGCATCATTTTATCTTCCTTTTAGTTTTATCACCCTTCTAACTTCACTGTTCAAACAAACTGTGCTAAACTCAAGTTGGCAAGTCTGAGATCAGCAGCAAGGTGAACTTTTTCTGGTGCTGATAGTTGTGTAAGACCTTCCTTTCTGCCAGGAGCAAACACATGAGGACTACAGGCTCATTGACAATGGCAGTTTTCACACGAAGAAAGATGCGTAGATCCAAACCTCAGGAGCTGAGAAACATGGGGTAATATTTGTGAAGACTGTCTCATAAAGGAACATATTCACAGCTAAGCAGGAATGAGAGGAAATGACAGAAGCTTCTCAAAAGCTACCTAAGCAAGGTATTTCTGCTCCATCATTATGAGGAATTTTCCATTCAGTAATCCATTTTATATGGCAAACAAAATACTTCTCAGCTGTTACAGCATTTTTTTTCTGTCAAAAATATAGAAAAATGTATTTTCTGTCCTGCTAGCTTTTAAAACATAACAGTTCTCCAGGATTTCAAGCACAAACTAAAGAACTCAGGAAAAAAAGAGAAAGCCTTGCATATAAAATATTTCAGTTGGTCTGTAGAGCCAAATAGAAGATACATACTTACCATACTTAAGGATTCATTAAAAGGATTTCTTGTCTGGATTGAGAATGGCTTATGTGTCTACCTTTATTGCACTAACATCTGCCCAGTCCGTGCAGCTCCTACTCACAGAAATAAATATTCTCATCTTTATATTCATGAGCCTGCAAAATAAATCTTTTTGGCTTTATATTCAGGAGTCTGCTGTGAATGGTAGTTATTTGCTGGAGTGCTTGGATCTTCTGTGAGTGGTTTTGTTTGTGGGTTTGGAGATCGTTGCTGTTGCTGTTCTTAATTATTTCCTTTCCTTGGGAGGATGTTACTGACAGGCAAGAGCTCCCATTTACTAGAAACTGGCATTTTTGCCCATTTCCTGAATGGAAAGGAGTGTATATGCAGTGGCTTACCATAGTGTCCTGTTCCCAGGACACATTGTCACTGCTGTAGGGATCGCTGGGATCTCTGGGTTTTAGCAAAGTAGTGTGGAGCACTGTAACAGTGACTGAAAACGTTGCTGAGCCCCGGCACATCGTCCTTCTGCTTAACAGTAAGTGACAGGGTCAGTATGGTGACTTGTATGTTGCACTGAAACACTGAGATTAAAAGTTGGTCTCTTCTTTTTTGGCAGGTGACTTGTTATACCTTAAACACCAAGTGCCAGCTGAAAATAAAGAGTAACACGTGCTATTGCTGTGACCTGTACAACTGTGAGAAGTAAGTACCTGTGTGCAGTCAGTGGCCTCTGAGAAATCCCTGGTTGTTGGTCCTTCCGCATCAGAAATGGGGAAATTTCCCATTGGGTCTGGAGAAGCAATGCAGGGGGCTTGCATGCTGAGTAAGTCAGTTCCTTGGTCACTGGTATCCAGATGTCAATGGAAAGGAAAGATGTTATCTGTTGGTGTAGTCATTTTTTTAAGTATATCAATAAGCTCTTTGCTGTGTGATCAAATCCAACCACTCTGGTTGGATAGCTCTGTCAAGATTTAATGGTGATTTTGCAGTGCAGTTTTCTCACTAGATTTAATTAACTGTTTCGCCTACCAAAATGGGGAAAACAAAATGAATAGAAACACAGGAGGCCATATATAGAAATCACACTGCAGGCAAATGCAGAGTTTTTTTGTTATCAATAGCTTCTGTATGCATAGGATTTTACTGAGTTGCCATAGGATAGATACAGAGGGTCTTGTAAATGTTTCCTGAAGCTGTTCATATGACTTCATCATTACTGAAGTATGAGAAGCCAGGAGAGGAGAAGGGAGGAAACAATATCCTTTGTAAGGATATCCTTACAAAGATCAGCAGAAGGCTATCACAGAGTTGCCATGCAGCCATTTACCAGGAGTACAGCAGTGGTTAGGAAAACTACATCACAGCCAAGTCCAGGGGTTTATAATGGGGAATAGAAGTGGAATGAACTGACACAACTGTCTGGACACCTAGAATGTAGATTCCAATGGCAAGCAGCATCATGACTTGCCACATATAAGAAGCCAAAGAGAATTTCCTGGAATGCAAGTTCTGCCACATTCGTTCTCCATACAGCTCAGGATCATGCACTTATCATGCCTCTGTAACCAGCTACAGTTCACAGAGTCCCTCTTCTTTCTTTTCCTCTGTGTATTTCACATCTTTCTTCCTTCCCATGTCTCCTGTTCTATCTTGTATTTTTTTTTTTTCACATATAACCAGCTCTGAGTAGCCTCAGTCCTCTGTCAGCCTTGACCAGCATGCTACCAGACGTATAATTTCAGTGTATGACAATGAGGCTGGCAATATGAGGTAATTCACAAGATTTATGCATGAAAGAGTTGCTTTTGCCCAGCACTAGGGCACGTACTGAGAAGAATGGCAGGAAATTCTTTTCAGGTTTTGCAGTAGAACATTTCTCAATTTTAGCAAGGCTATGAGGATTGACTCCACAACATGCCTGGATTACAATAACCATTGCAGTGTAGAAATACAAACAAGCAAATTTCTGGGTAGTATAGTCCATAGTTTGAAGGCACATCTTTATACTGTACTTTGTAGCATCTGTTAGTTTGGAACTGCAGACACCATAAACAAATGTGGTCAGCTGGCAAAGTCTCCCTTCCTGTGGTTGAATTAATGCTTGAGCAACTTGACAGAGATGCCAGCAGATTTCCAGGTGAACTGGAAAAAAAAGCTATGCTGAGCATGTTTTAGCTAGTAGCTAAATAGCAAGGGCAGCACCCATAACAAGGTTATCTTTCTGTTCAGAGGCACTCAGCAAAGAATTAGGATACCTTGCTTGTGCCAACACTGATCAGCTTAACTAGAGCTGGTATTTGTAGAACTAAATGTCTAGTGGTTATTTTAGCCAAGCAGAGCTTTCTTCAGTTCATCCGAGCATTGTTAACATCCATAGATGGGAGTGTGGATTAAGTGTTTTGCCAGAGAGGAAAGTAAGCAAGAGGGATTCAGATCCTCTGGTTCTCTTCGTTTTGTGCAAAACACAGCAGTGACGCTGTCTGCATTCCCTTTCAGCTCAGAGCAGTCCTCCAGCTACTACGAATTTCTTGGAGTGAGCAGCTGTCAGGATGTGGTTCACCTGTATAGGCTGCTGTGGTCTTCCACAGTCCTGAACATCATCGGGTTGTTTCTGGGGATCATCACAGCAGCCATTCTTGGAGCATTTAAAGACATGGTAAGGCTTACAGTTTTTTACCTTCTGTAATGACTTCTGCGCTTGTTGACCTTATCAAGTGAGTTAAAAACCAAGCATTAAGTACACAAAAGAGGCACTTTAAACATGTTTCCTGTGCGGTCTGGGAGTCTGGAGCCACATATTTAGGCTAAGCAGTTGCCAGCTGCTCACAGCTAAGTAGGTCAGGTCTGGTCAATATGTGAGTGGATAGGGAAAAACAGGCGTCTGCATGAACAGATGCTGGCACTTCATTTGTGACATCTTTTTTTTTCTTCTAATTCAGCACTGAACATGTGAGCAAGAGCAGAGCTAAAGGTTGCAAGTTTGTAGATAACATAAAACTAAAGTCCTTAGTGTGATGATTTATGTACTTGTTTTCCAAGAATAGGGATTAACACGGAAGGACCTGTCACAGAATCACAGAATTGCCAGGGTTGGAAGGGACCTCAAGGATCATGAATCTCCAACCCCCCTGCCACACGCAGGGCCACCAACCATTCCACCTAATACTAGACCAGGCTGCCCAGGGCCCCATCCAATCTGGCCTTGAACACCTCCAGGGACGGGGCATCCACAACCTCCCTGGGCAGCCTGTTCCAGCACCTCACCACTCTCTCCGTAAAGAATTTCCCCCTGACGTCCAACCTAAATCTCCCTTCCCTCAGCTTAAAACCATTTCCCCTTGTCCTGCTGTAACTCACCCTTTCAAAGAGTTGATTCCCCTCCTGTTTGTAGGCTCCCTTTAGGTACTGAAAGTCTGCAATGAGGTCACCCCACGGCCTTCTTTTCTCCAGGCTGAACAAGCCCAGCTCTTTCAGCCTGTCCTCATAGGGGAGGTGCTCCAGCCCCCTGCTCATCTTCGTGGCCCTCCTCTGGACCCTCTCCAACAGCTCCCTGTCTTTCTTGTACTGGGGGCTCCAGACCTGGACGCAGTATTCCAGATGGGGCCTCACAAGAGCAGAGTAGAGGGGAACAATCACCTCCCTGTCCCTGCTGGCCACCCCTCTTTTGATGGAGCCCAGGAAGTTTTTAATCATAATAATTATTTTCAGGTTACATTAATCTCCTCTGTTGTTTCACTGAAGACTGACTGTCTCTAACTGCTCCCTGTGCCACAATGATACATGCCACTGCTTTCAAAAGAGGCTGTGTGTGAGGAGAGATGGACCAGTGAAGTGACTCCCAATGGGGTGGGCACTCAGAAGCATAGATGATCCCCCACCCAAAGGGCTTCTGAACTGAGCAGGTGGAGGTGTGGGGATAGGGCTGAAGCTCAAGAGCAGAAGTGTTGTGTGAGAGCAGCAAATGTCTGCTGGTGACAGCAGCAAATTTCTTGTGACTATTCACATGGAAGAGAAGTAAGAAGAAGGATAAAAGGAAAGAAGAGAGAGATGAAGCAGGGAGTAGTATCCCCTTTGTGGCCTTCCTGCATTTCTGGAGCATCACCTGCCAGAAGTGACAGATGGTTAGATGCTCTAGGCATCCTCTCTTTACAAAAATATCTTCCACTAACAGCAGCAAGTTACTGCTCCTTGCTGGAGATAGTGAGGCAGCCCTGGAAAATGGGTGGTTGCAAAGGGTAGGAGGAATCTCAGAGAAGACATTTCACTGTGTTGCTCTGCAGCGTGTTATCTGGAGTATGAGCTACTAAAAGCTCAAAACTGATGGCAGCTGAATCTTCTTGTTCTGGAAGTTGTGATGGCAGCCCTTTCATCCCTGTGCCCTACTATCTGTGCTTCTACCTCTGTAGAACAGGTCCCTCCCTTCTGTGATACCCAAGTGCAGGAGCAGATTGAGAAGAAAGGAACAGGATGGGGCAGAATTATAGAATCATTAAGGTTGAAAAAGACCTTTAAGACCAACCATCAATCAGCTTATCACCACCATGCCCACTAAGCGGTGTCCCTTGGTGCCACATCCACACAGTTCTTGAACACCCTCAGAGACAGTGACTCCACACCTTCCCTGGGCAGCCTGTTCCACTGCATCACCAAAGAGTTGCCTACTGTCTGCTGCCTTGCAACCAGCTGGCAGCAGAAGCTTACAAGGAACCTTAAAACCATGCAATAGGGCCATATGGATTATCTGAAATTTACCTTTGCTAAAAGTTCGCAAATGTTTGCACCTTTCTCTAACTCAAGGCAAGCAATCATAATGAACTTTTGCGTGTTATCGATGTGCAACTGATCCTTTGTGTCCATCCTTTGGGTCCATCCTTTGTGTGAAGGGACCTTTGCAAGGAGTTAATAGCAAACTGCAGCTAGTTAGGTGTGAACAGCTACAGCTGCATGAGAGAAGCTTTTTCAGTGCTTCTTGCTGAGGAAAATGAGCCAGGGCTATTAGTTCTCCCCTGAGATGTGGAAAGGTATGGAGAGCCAGACTGCACCCATGAAATCTGCCTTGCATCAGCCCAGGCTTAAATGGGATTTGGGCTGAAGCTTTGTAGCAGGAGTGAGCTCCAGCCCAGGCAGATCTCAGTGCTGCAAGGAGGTATCACTGTGCTGCTCCTAAGGGACAGCAAGCTGAAGGGGGTCTAATGGAGGGGGCTCCAAGTAGGAACTTGATCTGATAAGCTGTTTAATATCTCCTCTGCAGCAGGAGCCAAAAAAACGGCTCATTAGCTTAAGGAGAATTTATGTTGATCAGCCCAGCACAGGATGCATGCTGTGTTTGTGAAAGAGTTACTAAAGGATCAATCCAAAATGAAATAACTATTCCTTGCTCCAGATCATGCTTTTTCAGCGTTCTTTTGAGGTACAGACCATATCAGCTTTGCTCATGTGCCGTTTGCTTTAATTATGAAAGGGGTAACACGTAGGGGGCCAAGAAAACATCAAACATAAGAGGGAGAGAAGGGAGCATGGGTCTGAAATAAGAAAAGGCTTCAAAACATGTGGGAGGACAATTGTCTTTCTTTCAGCATGTCACTTGCAGCTTAATGCAGTGCCTAAGGGCACAGCTCTGAGGTTGGCTTCCAGGAAACACACGGCTGGCCAACCACTCCAACAAAACATCGTGTTTATCTTTGCGGAATGCTGGCAGCTGAAACATGCTGCAAGCAGACAGTTTGCAAAACAGTAGTTGCTTCTACACCCATCACATTTTTGATAGAAAATAAATATTCTTATGGTTTTCATTCCTGTCACACATTCTCTGCAGACCCTGGCATGCTCCCTGTGGCTTTGCTGTGTGCCACAGAGCTGTGCTGACCCAGGAAACACTCTATCCTCTTCTGAGCCCTGGGGTATCAGCTCTCCGTAGCCCCTGTGCCACTCTGGGGCTGTTTCCTGTGATTTGCTGGAGTATCCACAGCAGTTGTGTCAATACCTTCCCTTTCAGGTGTACCTTGTGCATGGATATGAGACTCAGGCTAGGAGGTTACCTTAAGGTCATCTTAAACAAAAGCAAATGAAGATATAATGTAAATAGAAGTATCCAAAATGATAAAATATCTTGAACATTTCTTATGTTTGACAGAAATGCATTTCTTATGTTTGACAAAAGCGCATGAAAAACTTTACCTGCTATTACAAAGAGTTAACTAAAACATCTCCCTTCCCTGCCCTGGTATTCATCTGATGACTTGGAGATGTTTTCCTGACACACCTTGCCAAGGAATCTGCCTGCCTTGAGTTTAGGGTTGCATTCATCTGAATGACCTCTGGTCCTGGAGGAGTATGTTGCTCTTTTTTTAAAAAAAAAATTATTCTCCTTGAAGTCTGAGCAGATGAAATATCATTCCTGTCACCCCTCTCCTCTTCTTCTTTGACCCTGCACATAGCAGGGAGGTTGAAAGTAGATGATCACTGTGGTCCTTTTCAACCCAGGCCGTTCTATGATTCTGTGATTCTTCCCTTACCTCGTGTCTTGCAAGAGAAGGTGCATTTTGATGTTAAAAGGAATTGTTTCAGCTTAAAACGTCTCCACCTACCCTTGTATTGTGGTTTAACCAGCAGGTGGCTCAGCATCACAGAGTCATTCTTTCTCTCCCCCTTCTCAGTGGGATTGGGGGAGGGGAGAATGGGAGAGAAAAACGAAGTAGAACTCTTGGGTTGTGATAAAAGCTATTTACTAAGAGAAAAAGAAGAGGGGGAAAAGAAGATAATAGCCATGACAATTATACATGTGCTTATTATACAAGTGATGTACAAGCAATTGCTCAACACCCCCCAGCTGATGCTCAGCTAGAACCCCAGCAAGTGGAAGTGAATGAGATGCTCCCATTGCCTTCAAAACTCTCCTTCCACATGATGCCATATGGTATGGAATATCACTTTGGCCAGTTTAAGTCAGCTGTCCTGATTCTGTCCCCTCCTGGCTCTTCTCTTGCCCCCAGCCCTCTGCTAGTAGGAACTGAGAAACTGTAATGACCTTGGCTTTCCACAACTGCTCAGCAACATCTTGATGTGTCAGTGTGTTATCAGCATTGCTTTTCTTCTACAAACAAAACACAGCATCATAGCAGACACTGTGAAGAAATGCAATTCCATCTCAGTTGAAGCAAAACACATTGTATGTCACATGACTGATTTATCATAGCACCACTACTAGAATACTTGATATCAGCATCTAACCAGCCTCAATACCTGCAAGTCATCACTGGCTCCAAGCTAACAGCCTGGATCAGTGGATTTGGGGTGGTTGACTCTGCAAACCTGTCCCCTAGGACTGTTGTAATCTTTGCCCCTAGCAACTGGAAAATGCTGGTGCTACAGTTGGAGAGAACATAAAAGGATTTAGAGGGGTTCCAAGAAAAAGGAACAACTGTATTCACTCATCAGGGTTTGTAAAAAGGAGATGTTTTGTATCTCGAAGATGAGAGACTTGTTGTCTCTTATAAAATAGGTCTTCTGCTTTCGGGGACAGCCTTTCTCTGTGCCAGCTCCTGGGGTGCTGAGTTTCTCCAAAGAGCCTGGACTGCCAGATGATTTCATGCAGTACACCAGTCACCTAGATGATGTTTTCCATCTGCAAAAAGAATGAATGTACCCTTCCTATCTCAGTTACAGCGCTATGCTATCTCTGAAGGATGCTGCTGTTCATGTCTCTCATAGATAAGTCTGAAAGGAAATGCCAAAAAAACTCCTGGCTGCTGCTTTCAGTATTTGTCTTGTAATCACCATATAAAAGAAAATTCCATGCTCTCATGTAAAGGAATCTGCTAATAAAAACAAAGGAGAGGAGAGAAACCACTGGGTTTGTCACTATTTGCAAAGCAGAGGGCCATTAAGATCTTTATCAGAGCTCTGTCATCCTTTGCAAATGGTTATGTAGCATAAGGTTTTAGGAACACAAGTCACAGTCACATTCAGCTTTTTATTTTGCTTATTGTTGTTGTTGGGTTTTGGGTTTTTTTTTTTTCCCCTAATTTAATTGGTTGGTATTCAGCGAGCTACTACTTCTTCCTGCAAACCTTATCGCAGACTGCAGTTAAAGGGCATGCCAATAGAGTGATGAGATATGATAAAGGAGTCAGTTGAGTTCTGATGCAAATGATCATCTCTCTTGATTTTGTGCAGCAGAAATGAGATAAGCATATATGGGGTGGTGCTGCAGAGCCAGAAGAGAACTCCATTTCACAAGTGAGTGGGACCTGTAAGAGAAAAACAGGTGCTGTGGAAAGAGAGGTTTTTGCAGAACAGTGTAGGAAAGCTGAGGGAGGGATCAGCTAGTAGCTATTGGAAAGAATCTGCAGCAAAGTGTGAAGGACTGGGTGCTGGAGTGGATAAGAGGAAGCAGTCAAAGCTGTATGCTGCACTTTTCAGGGTGTCTCTGGTCTGGAGTTCTGCCAATGCTTCTGTAACTGCTGTAGGGAAGCACCCGCTGTCTTTTTTCCAAGGAAAGAAGATTAAAATAGCCATGCAATTCTGGCCAGAAAATTTATTCCAGATACAGCCTCCTCTCATTCTGTTTACCATTTCTTCAATTATTTTAAATTATTTTAATTTACTGGTTCACACTGGAAAATCGGGAGTTGTTAAACTGTAATATCATTTGTGGTGTTGGGACCAGTTACTGCTCCGGACCTCTCTGCACAGTGCTGATTAAATTGTTGTTTTCTATGCTCAACAGGTACCTATGTCCCAAATTGCTTTCAGTCCTGCACCACCTCCTCAGATCCTGTACAACCCTGCCCAGCAGATCCTGACATATGCTGGATTTTGTCCTTCTGCAGCAACAATTTCTACATATCCATCCTATCCATTGCCCCTTCAGGTATAGTACAAAATGGCATCCTTCTTACTCCATCAGAAAACCTGATTTTCTGAGCCATTAACCTGAGCCATTACACAGTGCCATCTCTGCAGTGGTAAATCTTGGCTTGTGAAGGGTCTGGAGCAAGGCCAGGAGGCTGGATCCCAACTCACAGACTTGCCTCTATGATCATTTAGCCTGGATCTAGGTCTCATGTCTGTTCTTAGATCTCACATTCTCTCTAGTCATCCTGTGGACTCTGCCTGTTGACTCTGCCTGCTGAGTGTGGGGTTAGAGCTGCATTGCAGCAGTCACAAAAGTGAAAACAGCTCTTATGCTAGGCTAGATTAAGCAGAAGCAGAGGCATCTGCATCAGTTATATATACCTTAGCCTACATTATTTTTACTATGGGAAACAAAAATGAGGACTCATCGGATGGAAAGAAACCAAGAGAGGGAAGCAAATAAAAGTCTGAAAAGCTAAGTGATATAGGAATGGTTTTGGCTGGATATTAGCAACCATTTCTCATCAGACAGTTTTAGTTGCACCAGTACAGATTTCAGTGGCAAAACAGACCAGAAAGAGGAAGTGTTTTTAGACACCAAAGAAAATTCAAATGTCATGGAATGTTGTGAAAGAGTACAAATGAGGGGTTAGGAACGTTGTCCTTCAGCTGCTGTTAAACACTGGTAAGTCCAGCCCAGAACTGGCCTAGAAAATGCAGTGAGTGATACTGAGGACGTTGTTTGATTTTTTTTTTGCCCTCATAGCCTGGTGACAAGAGGCCTCCTGACCCTTCTTTACCAGAGGAGTTTGAACCTTCATAGCCTGCCCCTATTCCAGCTGACTATCAAATAGCTTCAGTGGAAAATGCACCATTCCTACTGCCAGGGACCCTCTCTAGAGCACAGGCAAAACTAATTCCCTCCACAGAGGGTCTTGGCAGTGTGTGCCACGAGCCAGATGCCTCACATCTTCAGAGGGCTGTTGTAGAAGGTAGTCCACGCTACAGTGGCTCCCTGCTTAATGTGAGAATTATTAAAATTTATCTTTTCGGACACATCTCTCTCCCACTACACAACATTTAGGCATCTGTACCTAAGCAGAGTTTGGGTTGTGATCTGGGGGCTGACACATGCCCTGCAGGCTCAAGCTGGTTTCTGTATCTCCCTTTTGTCCCTCCCTTGCAGAGCTGACTCCTGGCCATGGCAAGGTGTTGGGCCTGGCACAAAAGGTCGTGGTCATGGCTGTGCTCAGGCAATGCAGCAAAGAGTGAGCAAAGTGAGATGAACACAGAGGTGAATTGGTAAATAGCTGAACGCACTGAGACACTAGAAAAAACTGTAAGCATTTTTAGATTTGTACACTGCAATAAGGCTGATGTGTTCATCCAGTGACTTGTTATACTTTGGCTGTGTACCTATAGACCATTTTGTAATGCTTCTCAATAGAAAGTATAGCATATTTAGTATGAGTGGGCTGTAGAACAGCTACCTGCAACCTCCTGGGCCACATCTGTTCAGGGCAAATGACCAACCACACCGGTGAATTGCTAGCCCCCTCCTGGTATGGCTTCGGTCCAAATCACTTAACAATCTCAACACTTACGAAGGGCTCAGGATTCAGCAAGGGCAATGGACCATGCCTGGTTGGAAGAGTGCATAGAGACATTCACACTGTTTTGGTACTAAGAGTTCAGCTGTAGGGATGTGATATGTTCTGTGCCAGTTGGCTTCACAACCAAAGAACAGTCCTTGGCACATTGTATTTATTAACAAAATGAGGAAGCACTTTTGCAAACTGTTGGTTCGGAGAAAAAAAGAGTACACCCAGAAATCTTGTTTTGTTTGCTTTTAGCTGAAAAGCTGTGCTGTTCGGCAGAGTTCAGTTAGCATGTAGCCAAGAGTAGAGAGAGAAGGGGATAAACAGACAAAAGCAAGCAGTGAAGCTGAAAAAATGCATGTAAGTAGTCCTGAGGATCGATTGGAACTGCTCAGTCCTTTGTCCACTGACAAACAGAAATATTTATCCCAAATTCTTAATTGCATTCCAAAACTAGCACTTAAACACTCCCCCCCCCCCCCCCCCCCCCCCCGCACAAATTTCTGCTTCTTCTAAGAAGCGTGTTGTTTATCTTCTCTTCCCTTCCTGACACTCAGAGGTGGACATCACCAGCTGTCTCCAAGTCAGGAGAGGTTAGCAAGAAGTGCAGGGCATCCAAAAGGGATAGCACTTAATCCTTTTCTTGGAAGAAAGAAAGAAAAAAAAAAGCAAGCAGTCTTAGTGTATGTATAAGCTAATTATGTTGTACTTTGGAGACAATTTCTGCTTCAGTATAATGCAATATTTATGAGGTATCATAAACTTACTCAAAGTAACAAAAAAGTGAATGTGAGAAACAGACTTGATTTGCAACAGCCAAATGCTCATACAACATGCTCATCCATTGAGAGCTGTGGGATGACCCCATAGGGCTGGAGGCCTTTACAATACTTCTTAGTGCCCTGTTGCTACATTCAGACCTTCAGAAGCCCTCCTTAGCTGGTGCTGGTCCTTAAGGCAATTGAAGAGTCTGGGACTACTGTGATTAATGTGGCTAAATGCAGGGGCTGTTGGCTGAGATCTAGTGCTGTGTGATAATGAGATCAGGTAGCCACCTGGTACTTGCTGCTGCTTTACGAGGGTCCAGGTCTCAACGTCCCTATACCATATCAGTGTGGATGTCTGGCATGCTGCGTGGCACCCCAAAAGGGTTAGACACTGATGTGCAGGCAGCTGAATGTAGCTCTAGATGTCTGCAGTGTAGGAGACTCCATCTGAGTGGATCTGTTCACCTGGGTGGTGACGTCATTGAGACCTGAATGGAGACATCAAAATTCAAGGCTGAACCCTGTATCCTATATGACAGCAATACAGTTACCTAATGGTATTACAGCTAAGGTGGCCTCAGGTTTGCTAGACAGTCATAAAGGACTGTCTCATGGCCAAAGGTCTACACAGGCCTTGCATGTACTTTTGGAGCAGCACACAGAGGCCTGGTGAGGAAGGCCCCAAGATGCACCTTTCTTTCTCTGCATTCCCTTTGGCTGCACACCATTCCTGCCTTTCATGCTGACTTGCACCTGCCCCAGTTAAGTTAGGGACACACACATGGTGGCTCATGGCAATAAAAGAAACAAACTTTCCTTCAGCTTAGAATTCACCTAAGAATTGATCAGGTGTGGTTAGTTTAGTGGGGAAAGGGGTAGATGGACAGTTGGACTAGATGATCTTGGAAGTCTTTTCCAGCCTTGGCAGTTCTGTGATTCTATGGTATGTTCCTAGTGCTCGGCAGAATCCAGTATCACTGAGTAACTGCTTGCTGGAAAGGTGAACATTCTTAAAAAAATAATAAAAAATCACACCTTCGTGTGTTAGTAAATGCTTAACTTACCTCACACTCTGTCCACAAGCAGAAACCAGAAAATGCGAATAAAAAGAGACAACAGGAATGCATTTTGACAAAGCTGTAATCAGCGGTTCTTTCTTTTACTGTGGCATGTGATAACAAAATCACTCAGTTCTTACTGGAACAACTCACACAACCAGTCTTAGTCAGAGAGCTGCCAGCTGGTCAGGTAAATGATTAGCTGTGTGGGGGCTGGAGGTGATGACAGTGGTATGGTTGTGCCAGCCATGCCTGCCAAACAAAGAACTCATTACAGAAGCACTGCCAGGCAGATGTGTGGAAACGGTGGCAGTTTGAGGGTAAGAAAAGCAACAACTACAAAACAAAAACAAACCAGAAACCAAACCACACTGAGCCCAACGTTTGGAGCTGATCTAGCCAGCAGGTCTTTGGGTATTAGCTCCACTGCCTCCTGGATAATGGTGGTGCATAAACACCCTTCCTGCCTCAAAATCTTTTTTCTCACTAGAAGTCACACTGTAGTACAAATGCAGCACTTTTCCTCTCCATGGGAGCAGTCCCGAGTCCTGCAAAGAAGCTAGATGGGTACTGTGGCATGGGGACTGGTAGCCCTGGGTGGCTCTGAGGTGCCACCAGCCAAGTTATCAGCCCTGGTATCATTATCTGGGTGATGTATAGCATTTTTTTGGCATGGTAATTACCCAAGACAGCACTGTTTTCTTGCTTGGATTTTTTCATTTCCCTTGAAATAACAGATCCATGATTACTATTTTTTTTTTTTTTTTTTCTAAATTCCAGGCACTTTAGGCCTGAACCTGAGGGGAGCTGAGCACAACTCTTCTGACGAAGCGCATGGACTGGCATGTGTTGGCATGTGAGGGGAGGAGTGAAATCCTGCCCCTCTTGAGATAAATGGCAAAAGTTGGCTTAAAGTAGTAGTAGGATTGTATCCAAAACTGTAATTCTTGGATGCATCCTTAAGTTTTAACAAACTCTGGTTGTTACTCAGCATGGGCTGTTTCCTAAGGTCATTTGTCATGCCTCTTTCCAGCCAAAGCCCCATTATAACTGAGACAGCTGAAAGAGCTACAGGGAGACACATGCCTAACTGTAAATTTGTTCATAAGAGAAGTCTGCATTTGGCATAGCAGTAAGACCCTGCATTTAAGCAAGTATTACAACTCTGAGACAACTTAAATGTCAGAGTGATGCCTGAAAACTAGCAGCTACACATAACTTGATCAGCCAGTTGGGTGCCATGCCTCACCCAGGAAACCTGCAGAAATTACTGTTCTGTTCTGTTGCTTAGCTGTATGCACAATGTCTATTAAAAATGACTTGGGTTACAGATGGAATCTGTCTTCTTTCACTATAAACTGTATTTGCTACCCTTAAGCAGGTGTTCGGAGTGCTGTGCTGCAATGCAAGAGAAAATTAACCATGGGCCATACTGGATAATACTTACCTGATAATACTTACCTGACTTAACTGACAAACAACTCAGAGCTGCAAAACGGGGTCATAATTCTTTATTGAATATTTTTCTTTGTCTACATACAGCCTGCCAGCAATTTTCCAGGAACATCATCTACTGACATTTCTTTATCAGAAGAAACTCAGCCTCCATCTCAGTCCAGCTCCAGCTACGGTCTTCCCCCCAATGCTCCGCCCCTCTATGCGCCGACTTACTTCTTGCCTGGAGAAAAGCCTCCACCATATGCACCATAGGACCAAGTATTTTATTTGAGGTAGTTAGCAGGCATTGTTTTTAAGAAACCTTTGGAAACCCTGCGCTGTGCAGGCACTAGACTTTCCAAAGAAGCCACTACAGAGTGTGTTACAGCCACTCTGCTTTTAGGCACATCTCACTAAGCAGAGCAGAAACCTGGAAACATCAGGGCAGGCTCATCACCAGTGGGGTGACAGGTCACCACCCAGTCTGCCTGAGGTCAAATGCAGTACTGCTTTCTACTTACCATGAGTTTTTTCCTTCTCCCTATACTGCAGAGTGGTTTTCTTCCAGAGGAGAATTGAAGAAAACACTCTGGATACGTGCTCTGCTTTCATAAACCAATATAGAAGAGTTTTAGTTTGTGTTGTCTGAATGAGTATTCTGGAGCCCTACGAGTCAATTGCTTTGGGTAGAAAGAGCCTAGGTGTTTGTGTGCTTGTGGTATTTATTTAAGAACCCTCTTTGGTGAAAGTGTTGTACCAATAAAAAAAGTGTGTCAATTATTTTCCAATAAAATTGACTGTGTATATTTATGCTGCACCTAAGGCTGTTATATTTATGAAGACAGAAGAAAGAACAGAGGGAAATTCACTATACTGAATAGTTCCCTCAGTTTCAAACAGAAAGGTGAATTTTACTGGATTTTTTTTATCTGTACCTTGTGCCAATCTAGTCTGCATAGTAAAATGCTATGTCAGCATGCTGAAAATGCCATTTCCAGACAGATACTTAATCTGCACCTTAGTATTGGAATTAATTCCTTCCTAGTCAAAAGAGGATCACAACCAAAGCCACTCTATGTTAACTCCAGTTATTTATTTTTAAGCTTATCAAGTGCTGGTTCAGTAGTTCTGCAACCACATTCAGCTCTTTCTCAACTGGAAGAGCTGATGAAAGGTCGGAATTCCCTCATATTTTTTCCTGTTGTACAAAATTAAAAACCCTTTGACAAGGCAAAGCAGCAATACTTGCAACAGTGTCATTGATAGGAAGAAAGTCGTTTGTATCCTGTCACAGAATCACTGAATTGTAGGGTTGGAAGGGACTTCTGAATATCATCGAGTCCAACTCCACTGCTAAAGCAGGTTCCTACAGCAGGTTGCAAATGAAAGTGCCCATGCCTGTCTTGAATATCTCCAGAAAAGGAGACTCTGTAGCCCTTCTGGGCAGCCTGTTCCAGTGCTGTCACCATCATAGGGAAAAGCTTTTCCTTATGTTCAGTTGGAACTCCCCATGTTCCAGTTATTTCCCTTGGCCTGTTGCTGGGCAACAAAAAGAGTCTGGCCCCATCCTCTTGACTCCCATCCATCAGATATTTATAAGTGTTGATAAGATCCCCTCAGCCTTCTCTTCCCCAGACTAAACAGCCCCAGATCTCTCAGCCCTTCCTCATAAAGGTGATGCTCCACATCCCTAATGATCTCTGCAACCCTCCGCTGCACTCTCTCCAGCAGTTTGCTGTCCTTCTTGAAATGAGGAGCCCGAAACTGGACACAGTGCTCCAGATGTTGCCTTCCCATGGTGGAGGAGGGGGAGGATCACATCCCTCAACCTGCTGACCATGCTCTTTGCAATACACCCCAGGATCCCACTGGTCTTCTTGGCCACCAGGACACACTGCTGGCTCATGGCCAACCTGCTGCCCACCAGCACATCCAGGCCCTTCACCAGAGAGTTCTTTTCCAGCAGGTCAGCCCCCAACCTGTACTGATGCATACAGTTATTCCTCCAGAGGTGTAGGACTCTACACTTGCTCTTGTTGAACTTCAGTTCCTTTCCACCCAACTCAGCAGCCTGTCCAGGTTTGGTTGAATCACAACACAGCCTTCTGATGTCCCCCTCACTGTGCATGCACGATCATCAGTTCAGATCCTTCAGCACATGCGTTTCTTATTTTGTGGCAGAAGTGGCTACTGTAGCATGAAAACCCGTCAGATGTCTGCATTCCACCACCGCTTTTTGCTTCTGAAAGAGAGATGCTGCTGCTGCTTGCTCTGTAGATCTTACTGTCTAGACAGCAGTGAAGCTACAGAAATTTCCTGAATGCCAAAGAGCAAAGTGGGGAAAGGAAGGTATTTCTCACTTGATTTTAAAGCAGCTGCTTCATATTATGGAAATATAAAGAAATGCTATATAAACAAAACCAGCCTACTTGACAGTTTCCCATGAAAGGAAGTGACACCATCAGACCTACTGAAAATAGAGCAAAGTATGATCATCCTTTTACATAATATTTTCCACCTTTCATGAACTTCTGTTAATTCATGTGCTCTACCTTTTTTACAAAAACCAGTATTAATATGCATAAAATCAGAGGTTAAATAATATAGGTCATAAAAACCATGTTTTGTTCCTTTACATTTTTTTCTGATATGCAAAGTTTTAGACAAGCAATGCTAAGGTCAATGACAAGGTGCCTTGCACATATTGTTGATAAGGTCAGTGATCTGAATCAAATTAAGAGAAACAGAAGTCAGTGAAGAGACCACTATTTTTCTTCTGAGTAAAAATTTAACCCATCCAAAATGCCCCTTTTTTGTAAGGATGCATGCTGGGAAGAACACAACCACCCTGATAATGCACTGAGTGGAACACGAGTGGACCTACACATGTTCTTTTTTCCCTGGGGAACCACCTGCATTCGCTTTTGGACGTCTTTGAACTTTTGGACTCAAAACCCAGAACAGACCTTTTCCTTCTGAGTTGAGCAGTTAGACTGCTAACAGAACAGTATTTCTCTTGGGTTGAAGCACACTGATTGAAGAGGAATTAACGAATGTTTATTATTTTTTTTTTCCTCTTTTCAACACTATATAGAAGCAGCTGCCTTTTCCTTCAGTATTAGAGTATTAAAGCAATCAAGCTTGAAACAGAAGTTCCCCTTCCCCACTCCCTTTCTGAATTCTCCAGACTCTGCCTTTCTCTTCTAAAGCACATTTTGGGTTGGGGGTTGCTGTGATCTCTGCAAAGTATTTTCACATACACACACAGATATGCACAGTCCTGAAAATATTTTTAGCTCTGAATTAGACTGCTTTTAGAAGATGGAATTATAGTCTTTTTCACATAGTATTAAGCCTGAGACTACCACAGTGTACCACAGGATTCATGTTTCCAGTATCTGGCCTCATAAATAGTACCACTTACATTAACACAAAGGTCAGAAGCATTTGTGATTCACTTGTGCCACATTACTTTTTTGGGGAATCACCACAAAAAATACACCAAAAAAAAAAAAAAAAGGTAAATATAAGACTTGGTTGCTACCACACTTCTTTTCAAAGAACAAAGTAACACGGTTTGTTTCATCTTCTAAGTTTGTCCTGTTTTCATTAGAGCTTCTCCAGAGACGTGTTTTGGTGAATAACCAGGAAAAAGAAACAGAAAACAAACCACAGTACCTTCAGGTTTCCCTGCTCTCACTGGAATCATAGACAGATGCTTCTTAGCTTCTCCATCACATCTCCAGCTGATGCAGAATCACTGACTGTAGCAGAAAGATCTCTTGGGAGTAACTTGCTTTCTCTTGCTTAGCAACAAAAAGCAAAAGCACAGGACTGCTTCTGTGTTTTACTATCCATGCACAGTCTGCCAGCAAATCTGTCTGTTATTGATGTCTAGTTTGCAATTATCCTTTCAGACTAGCATCTGGTCATACCTGAGTATAAACAGGCCTTCTGACAGGTCTTTTTCTAAGTGTAAAAGAGTAGGTTGGCTGAAAGTGATAAAGCTCTTGTCTTTCTGCCTTACTGCATCATTGCTGCTTCACTCGGCCATGATATGGAGCTATGATGTCATGCTGCCTAATGGCTGAGAGAATTCTTTCCTCTCTTAAGTAAGGCAGAACACCAGTAAAAGTTTGGGGTAGTCTTCACCCTCCTCCATCCTTTCCTCTGGGGCTGCTGTGTCTCCAGATATTGGTCACAGATGTTGTCAGGTGCAGATTATTAGACTAATCCACAAGCTCTGGGTCACCTTAGTTTCCCAGTATGTGGATTTCCACCACAGCATCTCTCTCTCTGTCTCAGTTTGTTACTCTAACCTGATGGAAGGCAAGGACCAAATAAAGCAAGATTTAAGCATGTTGAGGCAGGGGAGGCAAAGCCTGCCCCAAGTGCACAAGGACAGCTTAAAAATTAAATGCACTTCATTAAATGCTACAGCTTCTCCTGAGCAAACCCACAAACACATTCTCACTGCACTGCAATTTGGCCTGGCGAGCTCTCACAATCACAAGCCTCTGTGCTCCCATTATGCTCACAGTGAATGAGCCAACCTAAAAATCAAGCAGCAAAAAAATGTCATCACCACATAATATTCCCAGTTCTTGACACCTCATCATTAGCTTCAGTGGTTACTGACAGAAAAGTCATATGGCTTTCAGCTTATGGAACCTTTCCTTCTGTTTCCTGCTGACCCAGTTTTGTTTCCCATTCTCTGCTGATCAGAATTTTTCTAAAGGTCACAACTGAGTCTTCTATCTGCAGTACCAGAAACTGCAGCAATAACAATAGCATCAACCATTTGCTCTACAGCCCATGGAATACTGACATAAGCACATAATCCCCAGCCACAAAGAAAACCAAAATGAAACACTCATTAGTTTCATTTTCACATCAGGCATAGCCTGAGATATTACTGCCAAAGAGCAGAGTACAGAATAACTGGAGTACAGGTAAATTAAGAACTTGTATGTAAATATTTTATTCTTTCATATTTTGCAAATCAGAAAGCAGTGTTGGTAATAAAAATAATACAGAATTATTATTTTTCTTCCAGTCCACACTCATATATTACCAGGTTTTCCGAATTTCAGATAAAACTGTCTCTTACAGTCTAAACATAACATTCACTTTAAGTATATTCTGTACTTTTGCCTTACTTAATATTATTCTTCCGAACTATTTACAAATATATTACAACCTTTAGACCTCAAAGCAAAGGATTATTTCAATAATAAATCTGACATAAGAATCAGTAGCTCCTACATAACTTCAGTGTTTAAAGAGAAACTATACACGCAGTGCGGTAGGTCTGAATAATTTATATCTTTAAAAAAAAAAAAAAAAAAAAAAAAAAAGCATTGAAAGTTTCTTCTGAGTACAAAACTTTCGCATTGCAGTGGTACCTACGGACCTGCCTCAACTGGAGGGCAAGAGTGGGATGTGATGTCACTGTGCTTGTACAGCGCCTCATCCAAGTCCAGCGCCTTGCTCCTCAGCTTCACCGTCATGCAGCCATGGTAGGATGCTGTGACTGGAGTGGAGGTGACGTTAACATCTGTGCCAAAGGAAAAACAAGCATCTCTGAGGGCATCTTCTACAAAAATACCTGTCGTACCTACAGTCAGATGATCGCCTTTTAGACAACTGTACTCATACACAGAAGTGGGCACCTGTCTTACAGTACCTCACGTGAATTTAAACTACGTTTTGAGTCAGAAGAATCTGTCATTGTGTGCTTTATGTCTTCAACACTCAGCAAAGGAATCACTGAGATTGCTGTCCTGTGTGGCAGAGCTTAAGGAACATCCTTTGAAATGGATTTG